TTTTCCGCCCGTGCCACGTGGTCTGCGGCCATTTTTCCGCCCGTGCCACGTGGTCTGTGGCCGTTTTTCCCCCCCGCCGTGTAGTCCGCGGCTGTTTTTCCACCCTGCCGCGTGGTCCGCGGCCGTTTTTCTGCCTGCGGCACGTGGCCATTTTTCCACTCTGCCGCATGGCCGTTTTTCCGCCCTTGACGCATGGTCCACGGACGCCGGAATGGATTAACGGTAATTACATTGAACCTTATGGGAAAATTTGCTTCGGGTTGCGAACAAATTGGGTTGCGACCAGAGTCACGGAACGGATTAAATTCGTAACCCGAGGTACCACTGTATTTTATTTTTTCCAATCACAGCCCTTTCATGTACAAAGCCCATTTTTAGTTACTAAAAAGATGTTCTGCAACCTGTATGTTGAGAGATGCAGCTCCAGCAGGATAGAAGTTGAAATAACTCTTCTTGGAATCACCCAGTTCATTCACTGGGGTCTGTATTTAATAGAGCATATGTGTATGAGTAGAACCAAGCTCATTGAGAGTATCTACAGATAGACGCTTAAGGACCAACAGGACAAGTCAGGCTTATTTCAGAAATTACATACTGTACAATACCCGTATTTTTGCTATTCTGATGGAAGAAAGAAAATCAGGGGAAAGCAGAGTTGAAGAAACAGACAAAGAGGAAACTTTTGATTGTTATTCCTATTGCCTCTAGTCATCAGTAGGACAAAAGATGCAAAGGTCTGATGGTGCTGGAGCTGCATCTCCCAACAGAGCAAATGGTGCCCAAATGGTTCTCAGGCTGAACCTGTACTTAACTAATTGTTCCTCACCTTTCCCCCCCTTTTTCAGCAACTAGTGGCAGTTGGGATGGGACTTCGGCTTATTATTTTATTCTCTATGCACTAGAACTGGGTGATTCCAAGAAAGTTATTTCAACTTTTATCCTGCGGGAGCTGCATCTCCCAACATACAGGTTGCAGAACATCTTTTTAGTAACTAAAAATGGGCTTTGTACATGAAAGGGCTGTGATTGGAAAAATAGCTAAAATATGGTATACTCTCAAACATAATGAGGATACAGATTAATGCTTCATCATTTCATCATTAATGCTTCATAGTATCATGTTAGATAAGCTTCCTTCGGTCTTCAAATTACTTTCTATAGAGAAGTTAAAGTTCATGATTTATAATATAATTTGGTCTATATGTGCTGTGTTTTCTTTTTCAGGAGGTTTGCCAAATGTGAAAGTGTGCACTATGCATGGGCATTAAGTAGATATTTCCTCTTGCTATGTTGTTCCTGAGGACAGGCTGTCCAATTAAAAAAACTTTGCTGCTCTGTTTCTTAAACTTTGTAGGCAGTTTGCCTAATACATTAAAGATGTGTTGCTATGCTGACAAATGTCAAATGCAAAGTATTCACTGTGCAATTACATGTATTAGGAAAAAGTCTCTAACCAACAGCCAAAGTAGTATTTTTGCAATTATGTTGTTGATAGTAGCCTTGAAATAAAGCCACTGCTTGTGTTTTATTTATATAGGCACATGGCTACAAAAAGTGTGCTTAACTCTTGTTTTATCCTATGATGAAAAACAAAGGAGCAAAGGATATCAGATATCAGGTTTTGTTCCCTACAACAGAAAATTGAACATTTCATTGAATAGGAATGTGCACAAATGTTTTGGTTGTTCTGGATTTTGGTGAAACAAATCCAAAGGAATCCCAGAACGTTTTTATGGGGTGAGTAGGGTAAGGCTGATGAGCATTGCCCTCTCTTCCTTCTTCCTCCACACTGTTGATCTGCCTGTCCCAGCTTCCCAGCACTTTCTTTGCCTTGCCTTACTTCAGTAACCATGCCTATGCCACAGTGCAGCGTATTCTACCATCTCCCCCTCCTCAATTGTTCCAGGACTTAACCCACCCCAACACCAAATCACTTCTCCCTGGAACAATCACATTTCAGTTCATGCTCAGAAGAAATTTCAAATGTCCTAAGGTGGAGGGGGGAGGGATTTGGTTCTGAGCTAGACAAAAATTATTTCATTTTGTATGCAAATCTAATTAATTGTTATTCAAATAAAAATAGCTGCAAAGAAAAAAAAACAGCCAGGCCCAAACTGTTAAGTGTTCCCTTACAAAATCATAGCATAACATGAGATGCTATTATCAATTAAAACATTAACTAAAACCTACTTATAGAGAGTTAAATGGCATTCAGTATGTCTAACCTTAAAACAGTTTTACAGCACAGTAAGATTAAACCCTTATTACCAAAGAAGGTATCCACTATTAGATACAAACGTTACAAAGATCACCAATGCTTCATTAGACATTAGCACAATCAGTATATGAGACCTATAGTAGGATTTACATTTTAGTATCTTTCTGAAGATAAGCAGATAGAATTTAGAAATGAGTATTTAAAAGCATGGCTTACAATTTACAAATTAGAAATTTACTGCATTACTTAAATCTCATAAGAAGTTTTACAAATGACTCATTGTCTCCCATAATATTACTATTTTAATTTTAGATAAATTGACAGGAGAAATTTTATTTTTTATATGCACAATGTTTGGATCTTGCTTTAAAAACAAATCTTAAATCTTAAGATTTAACTTAATCTTTAAGATTTAACTTTAACTTTAAGATTTAACTTAATCTTAAATGTAACTCCTTCACCAAATAAATGGTGAAGAAATGGTTATACTCATTTTACATGTGAATACGTTCATCCTTTTTTAAGTAATTAGCAACAGGACTATTAAAATTGCTGCCAATTAAAGAAAAAAACAAGACCTAGTGTGTTATCAGCACTTCAGAGAAAGCACTGAAGCTGGATCCTCTTCAAATTCTCTAGGTGTTCCCACAATGCCCATATTGACTTCTAAGATACTTGCCACATACTGATTCACTATCATGGACTGCTTAATGAACACTTGTGCAAATTATGGATTTTATTTATAAGGACAATATAATTGGGTGTTAGTTTGAAATAGATTAGAAAAATACTATGAAGCCAATTGAATAGGTTATACATATTCCATGGCAGGAACTGATCCACTGGCAATATCACATCCCAAGATGCAAAAGAACATACAAATTTGGTGTAAGAAATAAGACTTAGGAAGCAAATTGCTGACACTGTATACCTTAATGTTTAATTCCCTATATATTAAACTGATCTCCAAACTGGGGCATACAAGAAGATAAGTTATGGTAACAGAATCCTGTATGTAGCCACAGCCAAGTCACTAAAAATTAAAGCATGTTTGTGTGTATGCCACTTTGAGTTATTATTCTGACTTGAATGAATACAAAAGGAGTAAGTTTTTCAAAGCGAGTTCTAAACACATACAAATCCAAGTCTCAGCAAAAACAGGAGTGCATCAGAACTCAGCGTGGTGCATGGTTTCTCATCATAGACCATGGATTTATTATTATTCCATTGGTTTGCTTTTCAATCCATTTTTTTCTCACACATCAAATATGTCCACTTACCTCTTTGTCAAAGTTTGCTTTGGTGAATTCCAAAGAGTTCAAGAGTGCATTAGTAGCCGCTAATTTCACATTATTACTTGGCTCTTCTTTCCTCATGCCCTGGATAATGGCAGTCAAAATCTCATTGGATTTATCCTGAAGTTGTTCTGGATCCTGAAAGAGGAAGAATAGCATAAACTATGCCAGGATTCCCATGAAATGCACAACCAGGTCAAAAGATAACCCTAGCATGTTATCTAAATTGAGAAATTCAGGCATTCTCAATTTAGAAGGGAGGCTGTTTATCACTACACCCCATGTTAGTCACTGAGTACTTTACTTTCTGGGGGTTTGCAAGTTATTTGGACACAGAAAGATGAATTCAAGGGCTAACTTGAATTCAGTCCTCTATTCCAGCCTCCAGCACAGAGATAGGTGGCTAGATGGAACCTACTGATGTGCTGTATATTTCAGAACCTTTGAATCTCTCCCATGGGTAGATGCACAATTCCTGATGAAATTAATTTGCATTTGTCACAGAGTAGGAACAAATGATAGAAAACTTGGGCAAAAAAACTGGTGGCTCATTTTTCTTGTTCTGCACAAACTTCCTGTCTGAAACTGCAAGACTTAATTTGCTTTGTTCCTTTAAACAACAGTAGGCAGTAATTACACATAGTTTCACTCCAGAAGAACAAATGCTAGGATCTCCAGTTGGCTTCAAAGATCAAGCCTCCAATACTCAATTTGGAATCAGCTACAATCATGTGAGAAAAATTTAGAACATTTTCAGGAGCAGTATTATTGTGCACTGCTCCCTGACACTGTTAACAAAACTGGGGAATGAGCCCATTGTAGAGATTTTGATTCAAATTAAGCCACGGAGAGCAAGAGGATGACAAGCACAAGAGGAAAGACCAGCATCATCTGAACAGCATGTTGAAGGCAACACTTACAATATCCTGACAAATATAGCCAATGGCTTCCAATGTTGATTCTTTCATATGCTCTGTGCTGTGTTGATTTGTAACATTGGCTACTAGCTGAGGAATAAGTTCAGGCCACTGATTCATGGGGATCTCTGCACAGGCGATGCCAGCAACGCACTGTGATGCTGAGCTGGGCCTGTAGGTTTCTGTACCCAAGGTTTGCAAAACCTGTGGAAGATAAGAAGAGGATTATCTTATCAGTAGGCAAGAACACAAAGCTGCAATACTGTTAGCACTAAGCAATGGAATATTGTGTCTTAAACTGTACCATTCTTGAGGTTGAGCAAAAACATAATATTGAACTCTATTATTCCTGAAATAAGGCACGCCTCCCAACTTTTAGAGGTTGTAAGAGATACTTTTCTCAGCTTAGGAACAAACAGGAAGAGAATTGTAAATTGAAGAAAAAGTATTCGAACAAAGATGTAGATGCTTTTATTACTGAAAGACACCCATACTGATAAATAAGCAGGACTGGGAAGTAAAACTTGAAATGCTAAGGTTTAACATACATAATTTTTGACTTCTCTGCGAGCATTGGCATCGATTGCAAGCCATCTCTGTTGGTGTTGGGTCTTTACATCAGGATCTTTAGATGTCAGAGAGTTCTTGATCTGCAAACCAGCTGCAACTCTTGCAACTTGGCTGTTTCCTGGGTTTGCTAGCACTCTGGACAGTTCCACAAGGAAAGTAGGCTGGCAGACAAAGAAAGAAGGAATATCAGTAACTAAAACTAGTTACATCTTTCTCTTTTCAGTCAACACAAAAACATACATCTATCACAATCTAGATCAAAACATTTTTTCAGTTCTGATTCAGGCAGCACACAACTCATCCACACATACCACCAGACAACACTAAAATCTTTATCTTTATAGTTCTTCATATATTTCATTTGCATAGAATTACATCTCATTTTAAATCAAATGGAAGGTATTCTGTACTTGTGTTCAAAGGTTCAAACTTAAAAGCTAACACAGAACTATAGGAGAGAGGAAGAATTAAGTGCTTAACTGAAGGATAGCAACCATAGCCAACGTGGCTTCTTTAAATTCAGTTCTCAAAGGCATTTAAGGATAAACAAATAAAACATGTATGCAATATCTGTCAATTATATTTTGGTCCATGATCATCACAATATACAAACAATGTTACATACACAAAGATTCTAGCTATCAAATAGCTACATCAAATTATGAGGTATCACAGAAACCTTGGTTTTGGATATGTTGCCTTACTGTAGAGGTAGTATAGTTTATTTACATTATCTGACCAGTCAGATGATGTATATACAAATGCAACAACAACACAGAAAGAAAAAGTGCAAAATAAAAAAAGCCAAATTACTAAAGGAGAGAAAAATGACATTAACTTGTTAATATAGTGTACAGGAATTAATTTGAGCTGCAATGTTTTTGCCTCTCAGTTTTAGACTTCAAATCCAGTTGTTGCTTACTAACTTAGACCAGCAGCAGCACATTTATGAATAGTTTTTATATGAATAGTTTTAAATATTTGGTGGGTTTCTCTGCTACGCTGGTTACAACCTGAATACAGACTTTCATGGCTAGCAGCAAAATAGAGCTATGGAATATGTAACACTGGTCTGACTGTTGGACAGCAGAATAAGATACTTACTTAATCTTTGCTTTGCTGTAAAAGATGGGGGGAAATCATAGAGCTAGAAGTTACTAGCAGTTTTTACAGCAGTTATTTTGACAAATGATGCAAGAGAACTTCTGTATGTGCAAAAATGACCTCCTAATAAAGAAATTCAGTATTGTCACCAAATGATGTTTCAGTTATTGTAATGAACAAACTACACCACTTTTAGCTAGGACAGCTCTTCAAAAATCTAACTAAATATATCAACATGTGTCCAGGAGCAATTTGCTACTAAAAGCCGTTCTTTCCTGAGCTATGCTGGCCATTAAGTAAACTTCACCACCAATGGTTTAGAAAGAGTAATAGGGTAAACAGAAAATGTAGTGTTGCTAAATTTGGATTTTGAGTAAATTTTATTATTAAAACCAGTCAGGAAGTATAAAGTGTAGAAAAGAACAACATGGTTAAACAATCCCAAAGGCATAAACTATAATGCTTAAGCCACATTCTTTAACTTTTGATGGAAGTAGACAGTATAGCAAGATGTAAAAGTTTCATTAAATTTAAAACACTACTATCTGAACGATATATTTAAGAAATAGAGCACTGCCAGGACTTTTCAATCAGTTAGCTTCTGACTGCCTAATAGGAATGTTTACTTTTTTGAAAAGAAGGAGTTCCATTGCCATATCATAAACTATCTTTGGATGTTTTCTCAGATTCAATTAATTGTTTTCTAGGAATGTTTAACCATTTCTGCAGCTTTTTCAATCCCAACGCAGCACTCTTTTCCAGGGCTCATTCACAAATGATTAAATATAAATTAGTCCCTCAACTCTTTCATTGATTCCTGCCTATCTTATCACTGCTATCAACTTCATATCATTCAGATTACTTTTTCATACTATCTAACAAAGTCCAGAATATTCTTAAATATTGCCCTTTTATCCTCCTCCATAGTCAGAATGGCACAAGAATAAAGCTTGGACAAGTAGGCAAGATACTATTTAGATCATGCAAGTTGCAGGACTACTTAGTCTGTCCCTTCTTTCTCCCCAAGCTGATCAATGAGTAGATATAAAAAGCATGGGAAAAAGAAAATTTGTGTAGAAAAAGATCAAAGTATTTATGTGATAATTAAGTTAATCAGGGATGCACTTTAAAGCTTTACAGTATAGAGGTAGCAGGTTTAATTTTCTAATTCCTGCACCTGATTCTTTTTCTTGTCCAATCATGATGTACTTTGTAAACTTTATGATTTTTGAACATACACATAACTCTGGATTAAGGGACAAGGAATGTCACTATAATAAAGTTTATATCTTTCTTATGATGGTAAGTGACAAGCCACGAGGGGTAAGCAACTTGTCAAGATCCTCAAACCTTAATTTAGCAGTCTGTTATGCAGAGAGTAAATAAGTGTTACAGCACTTTTTCACTGTTTTATTTCAAAACTGTTCTGCTACCAAGGGACAAAAGTGAGAATTACGCCTTAACATGCCAAAGCACATTCTGAAACTAATATCTGTCAAAGCAATGGGTGAAATAGATGCTTATCCATTCCCAATTCTTTTCTGCACCCAAGCCCTCATACATGGTTATTCATCTCAAGAGACAGTATAAATAAAAATAGGATAAGCATAATATGTGGGACACTTAAGATAAAATAATCAGCATTCTAGTATTTACTTTACAAAGTATTGTTCTGCAGAAATCTTTATTACTACTACCCATCTTAAGAACATACAAATTATCAAAGAATCTCTAAGGCCAAGACATGTTATAATATCAACCAATATTGTTTTTTTTTCTATTTTCTGGTCAAGGGTAATTCTTAATTGAGTAAGTCATTTAAAAACATATATCTTTGACTGTATTTTTATTTTTTAGACCTCACAGAAAGAGTTTATTGGCCCTGCTGGCCAGAAATGAGAACTATTGTCTAGGACATCTAGACAGCATAAGTTTGAGGAAAAATGCAAATGCATCACAGAGTTTCTGTTGGAGCTGAACTTTGGAAATCAAATTTCAAATCCCAGTTCAGCCACAAAGTTATCTACCTGGCCTAGGCCCATCCACTGTCCCCAGTCCAATCTATTTCAAAGAGTTACTATAAAGATAAAATGAGATACAAGGATACATCTTCTTTTAAAAGGAGGATTGAATACAAATGTGATCTCTTTTTCAAAATCTGATGCTAGTCCCTTAGGAGTCTATAGACACTTTACATCTTTCTGAACATTTGGGGGAGACTGAGAAATGAGTCTTCAGTGCTAACTCACACTGTTCTTCCATTTAAAATGTGAGATCCTCAAAGAGAGGTGTATTTCACACAGTAAAAATGGACTTCAAATTTGACTAGTAATACATTACCACCAATACACTTTACTGATTGGTGCAGATTCTCTGACAACAGAATAATCTAACTGTAAAAAGAACCCTGCCTACCCACCATAGAACAGTACGTATAATGTCATATGAAAGTATTCCAGAATTTTCACTTAGCTTTTTAGGGAAGGAACAATCATACTGTATAAAAAATGCTAATGTTAAGGATGATTGCATTAGCAATGCAAATAATAAGCTGTTCAGCAACAAATGTACATTTGTCATTTATTTGTTTGTACTTTTATCACAGATTTACTTATTACCACGCCCTTTAAAAGTAGAAAGTTAACTTAAGTATCAGTGAGGAAGTAGAAAGTTAATTTAAGCATCAGTGAGGAAAAAAGGAAGGAAAAACGTTCTAAGCCCCTATATGAAATCTAAGATACTAAGACATCTATTGCTCTGATAATGTATGGACCCTGCTAACACTGCCAATGCAACTTAGATATTTCCTTCCTTTAAGATTGTTGAAAACAAGCCTCAAGCAAATTGAAAGCTCATCTCTAGAATATGTAATCAGTTAAAGACTGGCCATTCAACAATTTTCTCTTGTGATGAATGCCATGCAAAAAATTCATTCACAATAATTTATTTTAATAGGCAGATTATGATACACTATTTTCATTATATTCTATTTTTTCTAAATATTTGCACACATATTGACTATTTAAATTATCAACAGCAAAGGGTCACCATCATAAGCAATTACCCCCAATTTGTATTTCCATTCTCCTTTAAGACCTTACAATGAATATATCTTAATCTTGACTCAATATATGTAAGAGTTACCCCCCACATGGCTCCCTCATAAATTCTGGATTAGATTTAATTCACTATTGAGCACTAGACTTTATACCATGTTATCCTGGTACTTATGCTAGATAGTGTGTTAATGCTTAGAACTTTCATTTGGCTACTAGTCTTGCTCTAAATCAATGAATTTCAGTATAGGAATGAATGAATTATTTCACAAATAAAAATGTATATTTCAGAGACTGAGGCAGGACAATGTCTGTTTTCAAACCAGGGATAAAAAAGAAAAGTACATGTTCGTATAAGATTTTAAGAAGAAAATATATATACAGGCAACGCCTGGATAAAAATTATTCAAATCTATGAAAAACACCGCAAAAACAGAAGAGGGGGAAATGGACAAAAATGGAAGAGCAGGAAAAGTACAGAAAATGGGGGACAGTCCGCATGCAGAACAAGAGAATCTTTAGACTAGGAGACGAGGCAGAAAAAACCGAAACCTAGTAGGCCTGGTTATGAGCTCAAAGGCCCGTTCCAGACAGCCTCCTGCCGACTGCCTTTAGCTGACTATACATGCCGGCTTCCCCACATGGCCGGCCCCGCAGGCCCAATCTATCCACCTCCCCCACTTTCCCTCCATGCATGCAGCGCGGTAGGTCCAAGCTGCCCTCCCCTTCCTTTTCCCTCCCGCGGGCCCGGCTCGCCTCCCCGATTGGATGGCGCGACTCTCGAGAGCTTTGCCATTGGCTGCTTCATTCTTGCCTCCCCCCCCCGCTAAAGAGGGAGAGAGAGAGAGAGAAAAGAAAAAGCCTTCGGTTAGGCTGCGCCCCTCTATGGCGGCTCGGCCTGCTCTGATGTGTGTCTTTTTACACAAGGAAAATATCCCGCTTTCGCAAACCCCACCCAAACTCAGCTCAACTCTTGTGTTTTCCCTTACCAGGTTCTCGATGGCTGCCTGTTCCAGGAACTTCTGAGCCGCTTCAAGCTCGGTGCAGTCTGCAGAAGACCCGGGGGTGGGGGAAGGGGAAAGAAAAATACACCAAGGGGTGTCAGTGGGACCCCAAAGCTCAGTTTCAGCCCAACAATAACCTCCCAAATCTTCTCACCTCTTTCCAGCTCTTCCTTCTGCTTAAATCAGGACACCGACAACTCTCCATTTCGAATATGAAGGTTTTCAACCCCCCCGCCCCTCCCTAAGACAGAGGTCCCCGGCGCATCATGCTTCTACTCAAACTTCACTTACGGTCAATCAGACCCAGAGAAGTTGGAGGGGGGGCTAAGAAGAGAAACACTTCTTGGGGTATTTTGCAAGTATAACCGATGTAGTATGCCACAGCCAATTTCACTCCATCCACGAGGAATAATCTAAATACTTTTTAAAGGTTTGGGGGGAGATGCACTCGACATTTGTCAAAATACCAGTACGTCTCCAACCCCATTGTCAACACAACTCCCCCAATCAGTTACTTATCACAGCCACCCCCAGTCTACCGATTTTGGCCTACACCGGATCTGAAAGACCACCTAGATAAATACCGGGCCTCAATAACCCCATCGCGGACGCTGCATTTCATTGCCACCCTACCTTTACCCTCATGGAGGCACTGGTCTTACGGTTGACCCGACGGGAGGCCATCGCCTATTCTCCCGTCAGTCTCCGTCTCCCCATGTAAGCCAGCACATCTGGGAAGCAGCTCTCGGACGAGAAGACTTGCCCCACAGTCATATGCTAAGGAATCTCCACCCCACCCTTATCCCGTATGCCACGCAAGGCGACTTCATCTCCACCCTCAAGAAGACCCTTTCCACCCGTATCATGCAGCGAATCCATTAACTTGTGCTCAAAACTACCTTCTTCCACACACGTGCACCATTACGCTCATCAACTGACCCAACCAACACAATAAATATAAAAAAGGCCGTTTTACGCCGAAGACTACTTCCGTACCGGCCTAGCTAGAGGATTCTCAATCTCCCCCACACCGCAAATAATAAAATTTACGCTTGCCCCTCCTTTCCCTCCAAGCATGGGGCCCAAACCAAGCCCTCAGTGGTTCCTTTATCCCCCAGGCCAGAGACGGAGCCTGACTCTTCCAACGGCCCCGAATCCTCAAGGGGAGGACCGCTGCTTCCTCCTTCGCCCCTTCCCACACCTTCCCCCTTGATCATTCATTCCCTCCCTTCCAAACAACGGCTCCAGCTAACGCCTTCCCCAGAGCCACATATGCCCTATGCCTAGATGCCCTTCCCTGCCCCCAACCTCCTCCCGACCTCGGAAAGGGGGGATGCTTTCACCCCAGCCATTCTTCCCTCTGCAGCAGATCTGTAAGGAAGGAGCCTGTAGGATCTCTTTCCCCTTTACCTGGCGAGACCGTCTTCTCCAAGATAGTAATGAGCTCCATGGTGGTGGCGGCGGCGGCGAGGTGAAGCTAGGAAGGAAAGGAGGAAGGGGAAAGGGAAAGGGAAAAGGAAAGAGAGGACCGGAGTCGGTGATCGCCGCCGCCTCGCCCTCCGCCCGCCCGCTCAATCGGCCGGTCGGTCTCTCCCTTCGCGCGCTCTTTACTTCTCCCTCAGCTGCGGGGCGGCCCCACCCCCGGCGGAAGCGACTCGAGTCTCCCCTACAACTTCCCCTCCCCCTCGTCACACACAACTCCTTGTGGCGGCGGAAGAG